GATAAATCGATCTAGCTAGGTTTAACATTGAGGACACATCGTTGACTAAAATAACAGCGAGTAAAGCTCGGAAGATGTCAAAGTTGACTTCTTATATCTATTATAAAATTTTACTAAAATTAAATATTTTCTGACAAAACAAACAAAAAGGTAGAAATCGTTCACGCGTGTAGCAGTAAATAAATAAATTGTCATTAATTAAATAACATCGATTGATGTAAGTAGATGCGAAGAATGATTTTAAATGATGTTTAAATATATGTTCTTCAATTTAGAAATGCTAATTTTTTTCTGGAGCAATTCATTAAAATGATAATGAGTGCCCATGATAGACGCCAGTAGTCTAGAAACGGTCACTATTTGAAAGGAATATTATTATCATCACTTTTAAAAAATTGGAATAAGACAATCAGTTTTAGAAATATAATAAATAATAATAATAATAATAAAATTTTTATTCATATGAACACTGGTCAACATAGGTACAAAATTATCTTAATTAAGCGACAAGATCTTAAAAATAATATGCCTATACTAGGAATATTCCTGTGTCACAGGCGACAGGAGTTCTAAAAATATGTTAGTGATAAGACAACTTATTTATAGTATATTTAAAATATTTAACAGAATTTTCAGAAGTAAGGTAGGATTGTTTAATATACTACATTACATACATACATACATACATATAATAACATCACGCTTTTTATTCCCTGAAGGAGAATAAAATGTTGAACCTACATAATACATTAATATAAAATTAAATAAAAGCTATATTCATATATAATCTAGATAATATTACATGTTACAAGGCTATCAATTATTTTAGATCGTCTGCAGAAACACAAAAAACTAGGTCAGAGTCCATACGGTCACTCACTTGTTACAGTTAGATCAAATGTGCTTGGACAGCAATAAATTGCTGAGTAAGCCAACCTGTTAATGTGCAATTGTTACACACTTAACTAAACTAAACGAAATGACTAATCGAATTGGAATTCCGACTTCGAGCATTTTCTCTTTATGCGCCTTCATAATCGATGGAATTGATATATCTGTGTTCGGCTATCTTCCTGGCTGGGCAGTCTGCGTCTCCTGTCTTGTGACTGTTGGGCTTGTTAAAGCGAGAGCATGTGGTACATTTTGGGAAGTCGATTGTCTTCGTGCACACGGATGTCATGTGTCCTGTTTCTCCACAATGGCCACACACTGAGTGGAGCTCCCGGTATGTCTTTGCCGCGTGGCCATACTGCTGACATTTATAGCAACGCGTTACTAACGTGAAGTCTCTGACAGGGCAAGACGTCCAGTTTATATACAGTCTCTCTTGCGATATAAGCGCTTTACGGATGTTGGCTGGAACTTCGATGATGTAATTACAAGTCGGCGCGTCTTTTCTGCCAGATTTGTGACTTAACTTCACACTCGTTAGGAAAGACTCTATAGTCAACTCTTGGAGCTTACCAGCTATGTTTTGTTCAAATATGCACCTGAGGACATCAGCATCGGATAAAACAGACGGCACTCCTAGAACTGTGATTCTAGGTTTTCGTTTTTTTTGCTTCATCGGCAATAAGTCCAGACGATGATAGGGCTAGTGCGTCTTTAACTTTCTTAGCATCTTCTTTAGACTCAGTGCTGATTATAACGCCTCCGTTATGGATTTTACGAACACCACGCACATGTAGCTGCAATTGGTCAGGGCGTATGATTTTTTGGACGAGAGATTTTGTTTCATCGCTAGATTTTGACTTATTTGCTGGGTAAATTGCAATAGAAGTCAGATTTGTAGGTCGCACGAAGTCAGTTCCCTTCTTTACCATGTCAGCAAATGAAACATTTCCCGTTGATGCTGAATCCTTGATAGTCTGCTTGATGTCCGAAATTTGTTCCACAAGGTCCTGCTTTTCTCTCATCTCATCTATAATGTTGACGGCTATGCGGGCTTGCTGCTTAAGAGCTTGGTATAAGACAGCCATTTGCGAGACATCAGCACCAATTTTTCGGCTCAGGTTGGATATTTTAAGTTTTTGGTCCGAATTAAGTTTGCCCTCTGTGGAAATAGTGCAAACTTCATGTAACAGGTCTTCAATGTTTGACATCCAATTTTGAATATCGGGCGTCGACACAGCTTGTATTGAGAAGTCAGAATTACGGCTGCTCTTTAATGGTGAAGTACAGGAAGCCAGCTTGCTCGGGTTTAAATCCATCTTCAAAACAACTAAGTTTGTATTTCCATTATTTATAACTATGTAAGTATCACAATAAGCAGAATAATAATGTAGGTCACTATTATTGCTTTGATTCAATATTTCTAGTATGCACGTCTGTTCACATCGAACGTCAAGAATCGAATCATGATATGAAGAAACACGAGACCAAAATCGTTTATTTAAACAAAAATAATAAAATTAAACAAAAGAGCAGTGCAGAGAGTACCTAACGCGACGAAAAAGGGAGCCCCAAAGTGCAGGGAAGGAGTATTTTCACACTATTTTCGCCATATAATTTATAAAAGAGTATAAAAATGTATCTCATTGATATGTGCTTACAGCTGCAAGAATAGGTAAAATAATTACGCTGGTATAAATGCCCCTGATCAGCAGTCTACTTGCTTATTGACATATCCTATAAAAACAGTATAATAATTAGTGACATCTTTTTGTACAATATTTTCTATCATTATTTACTAGTGCAGTCCTCGTATTTGCAGTAAAAATAAGGTTCACAGTATCAAGCTACGTTGCTGGAGGCTGTTAAGAGCTTTTTCTTCGATCGTATATCGGTTCGTTAACGGAGCACGCGAGCTAGCATCGCGTATTATACTTGCTGCAGGTTATAGGATGTTAGCGTCTACTTATTATTATTTATTTTTTCATTTAATAACTGCCTCGTTGGCCGAGACGCACATGTATGTATCATCCACTTTTTACCAATTATAATACGAAACCGATATATTAAGTGTTGAACCTACTTACTATAGAGGTATATACCGGGTACTATTCCAGACTTTGTTACTGACAAATGTCCGAAAAAGATAAGTAAAAATACATTACCCAATCTGGGAATAGAACTCGAGACCCTTTGCTCACCAGGCTCGCTTGAGGCCACTTGACCAACGAGGTAATCTCCTATGTAGTTAAAAGTAATCTTCATTTATTTGATGATCGGTACAATTTGTAAATGCATTAACATACCAACATTGCTTAAGTAGATCATTCAAATCGACAACATTATTAATTCTTATTCTGCTTAACGAACGGCGTTATTAGGTATTAATTCATTAAAAACCAATTAAGATATTGTTTTTGTAAAATTAGGAATCCCTTAGTATGGAGTTTTTACGTGGACGTACACACATAATCAAATACCAATTAACGAGTAAATCTAGTATATAGTATGTGTATGTATTAACGATTTCGGAAACAGCTTCAACGATTTTCTTGAAATGTTGTATTTGGGGGTTCGGGTGCGATAAATCGATCTAGCTAGGTTTAACATTGAGGACACATCGTTGACTAAAATAACAGCGAGTAAAGCTCGGAAGATGTCAAAGTTGACTTCTTATATCTATTATAGTATTGCGTTCCAAATTTTACCTATGATTTTACTTAAAACTAAACTACTAAACTAAAACTACGAAGAAACGGACACCCTACCGCATCTACATCGTCGCCGTAGTGTAAGCAGCGAGTGCCGAAAACAGGATAGACTAGAAGTTAGACCCATGGGATATTGACTCTGGTAGTTAGTTGCTGTTGACATAATTATTGAACACTATAGCGGTCAGTGCGACAATGCGATCGTTACGTCATTGGTAGAGGCGTACGTGTAGACTGCAAATTGAATCACCAACATATAATAATAATAACATGCGACATCACTAACCCGTGTAGTATTCATGGTGTAGTTGAAAATTTATAGTTATTTGAACTCTTACTCTATGAAATAGATGACCGTTTAGCAATCTATGACTTTATTTCAGAAACAGTTGTCGTCTAAAAAAGTACAGTAGTGAAAAGTAAAGTTTATTAATACATTCCTTTATGTGGTCACACGAAGGTTAACTCAGAACCAGGTTTTACTGAGTACTATTGTTAACTGAACGGTTGGCGCATCTCTGTCAAGAATTTACGATTCTCTACAAATGAGTAAATTCCAAACAGTTTTACAGAAAATATGATTAAGTATTACTTAAATCTATATTTCTGAAACAATGATCGGCACAAACTTGTACTTAACATCTACTTAAAAGAGGCTCAAACAAATGATAAATATTGGTTCAATATGGAAAAGAAAATACTAAAACATTGTTTAATAAATTTATTATAGCCCATACGAATGCACGGATACCCCAGACTTAGACGACGTCTCGACAAATAAGCACTATTACCGCAATATCGAGCCCAATCATGATTCTTCCACAAACAAGGCACTAGGACTTTAGATGATAATAGTCGTTAATTAATAATGTAAAAAGAAAAACGGCGCCATTATCAATGTCTCAAAAGCAACCTTACTACTTAGTACTCTGTTAAAACTAAAATTATTTATGAGAGAACACATTCAGCAATTTTTAAAATTACATGCATAGGGAGACTCTCTTATATTTACGAATTGCCTCAAACAAACTGTAAGAATAGAAATTTATTAATTTAATATACATCGTCGCTGGAGAGTAGTTTGGGATCATAAACACACTGTCTCATTGAGCTATTATATAGTTATCAGGGGCCTAGAAAGGTAACATTGGGTGAATAATCTAATCAGGACATCATTTATTTCTTCTGATTGAAAATTAATGACATTGAAAACACATTGTTACATTGGTTACTGGGCATATTACATTTAACGTGTTTGGTAATTTTAAATAACGTACTTGGAATTTTTGTAATTAAAATAAAGAAATGACTTGGAGGCAATACTACTTCGAAGTTTAATCTCGTCAAACTACGTTTGTGTCGAGCAAAAAATAAAAAATGTAAAATTATTTTTAAATTTTATTTATTTGAGTCAGGAGTCTTCTGCCAGGAGTCCATCCATCCATTATCCAGAGCTTCAAAAATTTTCTCAAAATCTTCTTGAGCTGAGTAGAAAAAAATACAATAACAGATAAGTTGTATGTTGAAAATGCAATCAAAATATGATTAGCACTATATAGAAACGCCGCACAAATACGAATCTAATATTCACAGAATAATAAACTTAAATCTAGTTGCGGTGGTAGTTGCAATGGTGCAAAAATTCAACACAAGTTAATTGTGTGTTACAAATGCGACCAAACTAAACATAGTTGCTCCAATACAAAATTAATACTTACACAAAAGGTCTGACAAATCTGCGTCTGTCTGGTCTGGCAATGTCGATGGAGACGCAGTCTCGTCGGGTTCCTGCTCTGCTACTAAAAATTCAACACAGGTTAATTGTGTGTTACAAACGCGACCAAAATAAACATAGTTACTCCAATACAAATTTAATACTTACACAAAACATCTGGACACTTTTCAGCCTCGAACGATGGTAATGCCATGGCATACCAGGATGGCAATGGTGGTCGAGGCTGAATGTCGGGCTCCTGCTCGGCTACTAAAAAATTCAACACTAGTTAATTGTGTGTTACAAGTGCGACCAAATTAAACACAGTAAGCAACGAATATAATAACCGCAAAGCCTATTCTTATTATTATCGTTTACTCCAATACCAATCTAATAAGTCTCGCTAAAATGTCGTACCTGGCTGCGGTGGTGATGGCGCGACTTGTTGTTCCTGGTCGCGGGCCGACTCCAGCTTTTTTACTACAAAAAAACAAAATTAGATAAGTAAATACTCGTACAAACACTATTAATTTATTATTTCAAGAATTTTTAGTTTTACACTTACTTTTTTTCTTTAATTTTCTATTTACGCGTTTAAGGTCTCTTATACTTTCTCTTCTTCTAGATTTCAATCGCATGATTACGTGAATCATTAAGTTGGCCGGCGATATCTACAAAAAGAAATAAAAATGAGACAAAACATAACACAATAAAGTCGGCTCATCTTACTCGCAATCATTTCAGGTTTCGTAAACGTACATTAGTGTCGCATCCTGCGGCCTCTGCCAGTTCGCACTGGGCTTTCGCCAACTCCTCTCGCCTTTCACGCTCATATTGCGCGTTCCTGGCGCGCTTTTCCTCCTGTAAACATGTAAATGTGGTTTATCAATCTACCTCTATATACTTACAAAAAAAACTGTAGAAAAGTGCTATATGTAGAAAAAACATGGCACAGCCTGTTATTATTTGTACAAACCAAAGACAGTGGGGTGCGATTTGCACCACGGGGTCTCCCACGCTTTGGTCTGGTTCCTTTAGAGCCCGTTGATGAGGATGGCTCTGGTTCCTGACGTGGCTGCTCCTGATAAAATAAAAATATAGGTTTAGATACATCTTTCAATTTTACTAAAACATTTATTGTAAAAATAAATGAGACATACCTCGTTCAAATTGTCTGAGTCTCTTAGTGGATCCATTGCTATCTTAATTTTTATTCCTTTGTACCTTGCCTTGTGCCTTGCAGTTGCAGTGCGCGTAGTCACCGAGTGAGTACTGAGTAGTGAATGCAAAATTCGTGCTGCCTGCGCGTACGCAGGGTTGTGGGCGGGGCGTAAGAAACCGTTAGACCGCGGCGATTGGTCGAAATGTTGGCGTTAACGAAATTTGAAAATCGAAAATTGGGGCTTTCGCTTGCAACAAATTTACCGCCGTCTAATTCATAAAGTAATTGAAAGTAATTTATTTGATATACCTAATCGAAGAGTGCATTAACATTTTAAACACTGGTTCTGTTTAATTGATAATTTGACGTCTATTCAAAGAATAAGTGAAACTACAAGCGTTCAGAACACTTCTGAATCTAATAATTTCTTCTGATACTTTACTCAGTAAAGCGTTGTTAAACTTTTTTTATTTACAAATGACTGCCTCGGTGGCCGAGTGGTTGCAAGTGTGACTGCCGGTCAAGGGTCTCGGGTTCGATTTCCGGGTCGGGCGAAGTACTACTGGGTTTTTATAAATTCTCAGTAGTAGCACGGAGTCTGGAATTGTGTCCGGTATATGGCAATAGGCTCACCCCCTATTACATGGGACTCATAACATAAATATTGAAAAGTGGGTGTTACATTGTACAGTGGCATAATGTACACCTCTGCCTACCCCTTCGGGGATAAAAGGCGTGATGTTATGTTATGTGTGTAAATTAAAGAATTACAATAACATCATAATTATGATAATACTAATGCGCACATTATATTTATAATTGGTTACAACTTGTTATTAATCTAATGAGTGATAAATCAATTATTTCTTATTTCATACTTTCTTTGTTTCCTTCTTATTGGCTTTGTACTCGTAAATAGTTGTGAAATGCCATGCGTTTATGTAAACTTAATAAGACCGAAGGTACGAACAACGCTACGTGGTATTTTAACACGAAGTAAAAAGATAATTTCCAAAGCAGTTGTTCTTTTTATGGAACAATACAAAAGAGCGAGCCAGAGATAAGACAGCACAATAGAGACTGTTAATAGTTTCTATGAAATATTTATAGACAACTGGGCGCCATTAGGATTGCTATTATCTTTTGTTTTCGTAATTCCAAAGATGTTATTCGAATATCTGCGTGACCCGTGAGAACTTCGCTCTGTCAGTTGTTCTGATGTAGTATGTTGCTGAAAATGATTTCGCAATTAATATCATAGCGACAAGATACGTCAAAAACGTTCGTAACCAAACTACTACGCCGCCCTCTTCCATCTGCTACGGCGTAGCACTTGTGCTACGGCGCACCGTAGCCCTGTACTTTACTGATGTTCATACTGTTGTTTCATCATTTTATAATTGTTACATTAGAAACCATTTTAAGATCGTGTTTACCCTAATCAAATTTGGCTTTCACTAACTTGTTTGACTGCCCCGTTGGCCGAATGGTTGCAAGTGCGACTGCAAGGGATCTTGGGTTCGATTCCGGGGTTAAAAATAGATTTTATGCTCTGGTTTCGCTCTCTTTTTACACGTTTTCGACACTGTTCTGCATACAAATAGCTGTTTAGTTTCGAATAAGATCATAGAATTATATTTTGTCTATCACGTGATAATTGTATTACAATTATATACCTTTTTATTTTGATGACGGAGTAAACTTTCAAATGGCGCCTAGCTTTTTGGAGAGAAAGACTAGGGAGTGTGGGATTTGTACCTCACTAAAACCATCCCGGTGGCGAGCTTCAGCACCTGTAACGGGCACCGGGTCCTCTAAAAGAGACCTTCTCCGAAGCCTCCATGGTGCAACACATATGTTATTACGGCACATTCCTAGAGTAAAATAGGGTATACGACTTTTTCTTATCTTATCCCGGACGTAACATAGTAACAAACCTGATGAGTGATAAAATCTGTGGTCCGTTGCCTCGAACTAGTCAGCTCAGGTGCCATGATCAGCGCTTAAAGAGATTAGAGGTTTGAATTATGACAGGTTTAAATCACTGTCAATCACTGAGTCGACTTTAAAAAAGGTTTTAATACCACGAGGTAGCGCGGCCATGGTACAGCGTCGGGTCGTCTTAGCAACAATTTACCTAATAATAGTTTTCTGATTCGTTTGTTTGAGAAGTTTAAAATAATAGTTCAGAATGAATGAAACAAAGGCTTGTGTTCCACGAATGTGCCCGCATGCCCTAAAACAATTATTCATTCAAGGAAACATTTGTGTTGCTTATCTCAATATCGCTAGGTAACATAACTCTTTTATTTCACGAACAGAACCATTTTCCATTTTTAACTTTTGCCTATTGTTATAAAAAGATTAGTTTATTCCGGTCGTGCCATAAAACAATGAATGAATCCAATGAATGGTGCTAGAGGTAATGCAACTGTGTATTGTAAGGCTTCACTGATCATTTTGATTGTACCGATTCTGTTTTTAGCCAAACGGAAATCGGTTTATATAAATATTTACGGCACGTATCTATAATAAGAACAAAACAATTTTTTTGTTTAGTTAACTTACAATAACGTTGTAAATTAGTTCGTCTGAAAAGAAATTTGCGAACTAATATTATAGAGCTATATTACCTACATGAACAATATGCACCGCCAATACAACAGAATATGCACTTCCTAATCCGGGCAAGTATTTATAACTCTTTAGAGAGGCGGCCAATTGCAAACAGTTCTATAGAAAATATGATTATGGTCAATATCTACTATCCACTTCAAGGCGGTTTTTGCGGTGGTTATTGATGATGATGATGATGATGTTTCATAGCATGTACCCTTCTTCGATAAATGTATTCTTATCTGACATAAATAGAATTATTACATTCGATCCAGTATTACTGGAGCTTAGCGCGATGAAACAAACAACTTCTGCGTGCTTTCACCCCCGCCTCAGTTGAAGATGTTGTACAGCACACGACTAGCCTTTAGCCTTATATAGAGGTATAACCTTCCTCAATAAATTGACAATTCAGCATACAAAGAATTATTTAATTCGTGCCAGTGATTTCGGATATTAGCGCAAAACAAACAAACTCAATCAAATAAACTCTTCACCTAATATCGAGACATTTCAAAAACTGTGAACGATACAAAGTTGACCTACATGAAGATAAGTTACTGTTTGAATACATTGTCCCTCTCACCTGTTATCACGCCTCAATCTCTGAGGGGATAGGCAGAGACGCACATGTATGTATCATCCACTTTTTACCAATTATAATACGAAACCGATATATTAAGTGTTGAACCTACCTACTATATTAACGAACGGCGTTATTAGGTATTAATTCATTAAAAAACCAATTAAGATATTGTTTTTGTAAAATAAGGAATCCCTTAGTATGGAGTTTTTACGTGGACGTACACACATATCAAATACCAATTAACGAGTAAATCTAGTATATAGTATGTGTTTGTATTAACGATTTCGGAAACAGCTTCAACGATTTTCTTGAAATGTTGTATTTGGGGGTTCGGGTGCGATAAATCGATCTAGCTAGGTTTAACATTGAGGACACATCGTTGACTAAAATAACAGCGAGTAAAGCTCGGAAGATGTCAAAGTTGACTTCTTATATCTATTATAGTATTGCGTTCCAAATTTTACCTATGATTTTACTTAAAACTAAACTACTAAACTAAAACTACGAAGAAACGGACACCCTACCGCATCTACATCGTCGCCGTAGTGTAAGCAGCGAGTGCCGAAAACAGGATAGACTAGAAGTTAGACCCATGGGATATTGACTCTGGTAGTTAGTTGCTGTTGACATAATTATTGAACACTATAGCGGTCAGTGCGACAATGCGATCGTTACGTCATTGGTAGAGGCGTACGTGTAGACTGCAAATTGAATCACCAACATATAATAATAATAACATGCGACATCACTAACCCGTGTAGTATTCATGGTGTAGTTGAAAATTTATAGTTATTTGAACTCTTACTCTATGAAATAGATGACCGTTTAGCAATCTATGACTTTATTTCAGAAACAGTTGTCGTCTAAAAAAGTACAGTAGTGAAAAGTAAAGTTTATTAATACATTCCTTTATGTGGTCACTCGAAGGTTAACCCAGAACCAGGTTTTAATAATAATAATAATAATACCAATTTATTTCAGATAATAAAATCCATAAAATTACATTAAAAACGAATTCAGGTTCAAAATTATATAAATTAACAAATTGACTTTATAGCTAGTATCATAAAATTAAAATAAAAATCAATTCGTTCATTCATCAAATAATCAAAATAATAAATTACACAAACACACAAAGAACATACATAGTCAATTAATTATAAGTAGTCAGTTTCAATTATAAATAATCAATACAATAATCAATACAATCTCAATATAAGTCAATAATAATACAAGTCAATAAAAAATACAAGTCAATAGATAATAATACAAGTCAATAGATAATAATACAAGTCAATAGATAATACAATTCAATAGATAATAATACAAGTCAATAATATAGGTATGTCAACTATAAATGAGGGACCGCTCGCGTGCAATCGCATCCACCTCATCAGCATTGGTGAGTCCCACCGCTGGGACAATGTGCTCAGAATACCATTCGGGCTGCCACGCACACGCCTTAACAGCGAGGCGCACCTTTTCCTGATTATGGCGAAAAAATCATCAGTTTGCGCCTCAGCAAACATAGCGGAAGCACTACAAAAACGTGGCAGCCCCAATAATATCCTAAACGCATTGTTATACTGCACTCGCAGTGCACTGTACCCCCGCAGCGCAAAATTAGTCCACAGGCTGCACGTGTAAAAGGTCTGGCAGTACGCCTTGAATAATGTTATCTTTACTTGAGTAGTACAACGTGCAAACCTGCGAGCCAACATATTACACCGGTGGACAGAGCCCTGCGTTCCCTCTCGATGTCCTCATTGTCACACAAGTCTTCAGTCACCCAGTGACCCAGATACTTAAAGGCACTAACCTTTTTCAGACGC